CATTGCTCTCTTCATCAAGATAAGTGTATGCTTTTCTTTAAGATTTTATTTATTTATTTGAGAGAGAGCACAAGTGGGGTGAGGGGCAGAGGGAGAAACAGACTCCCTGCTGAACAGGGAGCCTGATGTGGGCCTCGGTCCCAGGACCCTGGGACCATGACCTGAGCTGAAGGTAGACACTTAACTGGCTGAGCCACCCAGGTGCCCCAAGATAAATGTACTCTTGAACCCCTTTTTAATTTCACCCATCCCCCCCATTCACCTCTCTGGCAATCAACAGTTCACTGTATTTAAAAGTTTGTCTTTTTTTTCTTACTTTATTCATTTGTTTCTTAAATTCCACATATGAGTGAAATCATATGGTATTTGTCTCTGACAGACTTCATTTAACATTATACACTTTAGGTCCACCCATGTTGTTGCAAATGGCAAGATCTCATTCTTTTTTATGGCTGAGTAATATTCCACTGTATGCATACATGTGTCTAAATATGTACATACATATATACACACACATGTGTATACATATATATACATAAACACACAGACCTTCATCCATTCATCTATGGATAGACACCTGGGTTGCTCCCATGTTTGGCTATTGTAAATAATGCTGCAATAAACATGGGGGTGCATATATCTTTCCAAATTAGTGTTTTCATGTTCTTTGGATAAATACCCAGTAGTGGAACTAATGGATCATATGGTAATTTTAACTTTTTGAGGAGCCTCCATCCCATTTTCCACAGTGGTTGTACCAATTTGCATTCAGTGCAGCAAGAGTACGCATGGGTTCCTTTTCCTCCACATCCTTGCCAACACTTATTTCCTGTTTGTGACGAGCCATTCTGGCAGATGTGATCTCTCATTGTGGGTTTTATTTGCATTTCTCCTAAGTGATGTTCATCTTTTTGTGTCTGTTGGCCATCTGTATGTCTTCTTTGGACAAATGCATATTCAGGTCCTCTGCCCATTTATTAATAGGATTATTTGGGTTTGGTGATAGGTTTTTTAATATATTTTGGATATTAATCCCTATCAGATATATCATATCCAAACATCTTTTCCAATTCTGTAGGTTGTCTTTTTGTCTTGTTGATGGTTTCCTTCACTGTGCAGGGGCTTTTTATTTTGATGTAGTCCCAATAGCTTAATTTTGCTTTTGTTTGCCTCAGGAGACACATCTAGAAAAATGCCACTAGGGCCAATGTCAGAAACTACTGCCTATGTTCTCTTCTAGAAGTTTTCTGGTTAGGTCTTCAATCCATTTTATTTTTGTGTATGAGGTAAGATGGTCTTTAAAGATGCTCAAGTTAAAAACAAAACCCTTATTTGGTGCCTCATATTCCTTCTAATATGACCCCTTTTCCTGCTAAAATCCTATCTGCTGCCTCCACTTCCCCAACTCCCAGGTCATTACTCAGCCCTGTCCACACTGTGGCTTCCAGCTTCATCCCTCTCCTTTGGCTGGGGTCATCCAATGCCACTGGGCTCTTCCTATTAAAAAAGGACCAGGTGTGTTGAGTTAAAAAGTAAAATATCACACAACCATTTGGACATTAAAAGCAAAACCAATACAACAAAAAGCCCCACCAAATATGAGTTCCTCTATTCTAAATAATCCTGAGAGAAAAATAAAATTACATTTCTGAGAATACTTAGAAAAGTGAAATAATAGAAACATTCCCTATGAGACATGGTCAAAACTATAGCCTGAGAAAATGTATAGTGTTAAATGTTTTCACTATTAAACAAGAAAACATTGTAACTTCAATATTTGGCCCAAAAGGGTAGAAGGGAGGAGTAATGAAATACAAGGAGAGTAGGAGGAAGGCACTGACAAAAATATAAACTCAAATTATACATAAAACAAAAATACTAAAGTTACTAAAATTGATCATTCTGAAAGCTGGTTCTTTATGTGAGAAGATAGACACCCCCAACCTAGTGTAGTCAGGACGAGAGTTATAGAACGCATACCATCTCACTTGGAAGGAAAAAATCCTCACAGACAAGATTTTTTTTTTTTTAAGTGTAGTGAAAGGATGCTATATACATCTCTAAGCTAATACATATGAAAAATTTGAAATTATTTTCTAGGAAGATATTAATAACAAAAATAGACTCAGAAAAATACAGAAAACCTGAATAATCATGGGGGAAAATCATCAAAAAGTTGCTCTCCTAAATTTAATTTTATGAGCAAAAAACTTAAAAGACAGTACCAATTAAGAATTGTTCTTACATGCTTATTTTTAAAACTCCAAGCATAAAAAAAAAAAGTTCATTTAACAAAATCAGTATAACCAAGACCTGAAAACGTGACGAAGATTAAAACAAACAAACAAAAAAACCCTGTTTCTCCCCTGGGAAAGGGGAGGGGGTTGCATAAAAACCACCTGAGCAGGGAGATCACTGCTGAATTCCCAGAGGCTAAACCATGCTAAGTTAATGAAATCTAAACAATACTAATTCAAAAGTTCCTTTTGGTCCACAGAGTCTTTCTTCCACTTGATCCATTCTGTGGTTGATGCTCTACCGCATTTTCATCTCATGCACTGTATTTCTCAGCTCCACAATTTGATTTTTTGATTTCCATCTCCTTGTTAGAAACTTTCGTTCGTAGGTGGTTTTCCTGATTTCATGGAATTGTGTGCTTGTAGCTCCCTGAGTGTCCTTCAAATGGCTACTTTGATGCTCAGTCAGGTCAGTCGCAGACCTCTGTACCTTTGGGGCTGGTTACCGGAAGATTACTGTGCTCTTGCCGTGGTGTCACGTTTCTTAGATGGTTTGTGTTCCTTGAAGTCTTGTGTTGCTATCTTTGCCCCTGAAGTCTCCACTAACAAAACCTTCCTTCGGCGTTGCTAGGGATTCTGAAGCTTTCTCAGACCACCTGAGGATACACCTGTTCAACATTTCTTGGTCCCTTTTGTGGCAGAATTCTTAAGCCCACGCACCTTCTCTCGATCCTGTGATATACCAGGCTGAGTGCTGGCAGCCTCCCTTTTGCTTTCCCAAGGTGGGTGCTAAAACTCAAGTTTGTGGTCTCTCCCTGGCCCACATGCTGTGAGGGCTCACTCCCACTAATGTTACATGGGTGAGGGGCATCAGGTGTTGTGGGGCGGCTGGTACCAATGACCTACTTTCTCTCCTTATGCATTTGCTCTTCTTGGACATTTCATATAAATGGAATTGTGTCCATTGTATCTCTCTTTCACTTGTAATTACTTTGGGATTCATTCATGCTGTAACAGGTCTTAGTATTTTGTTCCTTTGCATAGCTGAGTAGTGTTCCATTGTATGAATAAACCACATTTAATCTCTTCATCGGTTGGGATGGACAGCCGGGCTGTTTCCACTTTGGGCTATCACGAATAGTGAAAACTGGCGTCAAGGCATGGTGGACATATTTTCACTTTTCTTGGATAGATATCTAGCAGTGGAATTGTTGTGTGATGTAACTAGCCAGGCTGTTTCCCTAATTGGCCATACCATTCTATCTGCCATCAGTAATGTATGAGAAGATCTGGTCTTTCCATGTCCTGGCCAACACTTAGTGGTGTGTTTAAATTTTTTTTATTGGGTTGTCTCATTGAGTTATTTATGTAACCTGGATACAAGTCATTATTTATCTATTTGGCAGATATTTTTTCCTGGTGCATCATCTTTTATAATAATTTGTTTTGGCAAACATGGCTTGTGGGAAAACCACTATTAAATCATCTAACCTTCATACCACCTCTGTGACATGGGTCCTCGATGGTTCCCTTTTTGCAGAAGAGGAAACCAGGCACAGATATTCACTTGTAGATCGTAGAGCTAGTAAGTGGCAGAGCTGAGCCTTGACTCTAACTTGTTTGGCTCATGTCTGTGCTCTTAACTACTGCACCCTGCTACTTCTGAAGCAGAGGCTGGGCCTGCCCGGTGACATGGTGCCCAGAGCCTGGAAGAGGGTCAACAATCCCAGTGAGTTGTTCTTCATCAGTTACTTCCATGCACAACATTCTCCCAAGGCTAGGCCCGCCACGGATTATACTGATGTTCTAGAACCTAGGAACTCCTGTGGGAAGTGCCGATGAAGGCTTCCCTCAGTCTCTGTAAAATTGGGCATTGGTATCGAGGTTCTTCCTATTAGTGTTCCACTCTGTGCTCGCCACAGTGGCTCCTGGGATGGGAAGCTGGACTATTCACAGGACCTTACCTTTCCATTGTGCCCATCCCCACACTCCTCACCCAGCCCAGCCCTCACACAGCAGAGTAGCCCACGCTAGAGACAGTCTAAAAACACTTGTTGTCTTGAGAGATCTCAGAGCTTACTGGTATTACAGAACAGTCCAAAGCATTATCTTCCCAGAATCAGCTATTTAAACATATTCCACAGTGGCTATCTGTTGGCCCTAGTAGATGTGAAGCAACTCTCACCAATGAAGAGTTAGTTAAAAATCTTCTTTCATGGGGCACCTGGGTAGCTCAGACAGTTGAACGTCTGACTCCTGGTTTTGGCTCAGGTCATGATCTCAGGGTTGGGAGATCGAGTCCCACATGGAGCTCTGTGCTCAGTGCAGAGTCGGCTTGAGATTCTCTCCCTCTCCCCTTCCCCCTACTTGCAGTCTCTAAATCTTTTAAAAAAATCTTCTTACATTATTTTCTTAATGAAAACTGCCTTTAAAGACAATGCATGCAAAAACCAAGGGTTTTTTTTTCCCCTGTGAAACATGGAAGATGCAAATTTTCCATAGTTTTAATTTTAGAAAACCAAAATACTTATCCATTTAGAAAAAAATACCAGGAGACTCAACATGTTGACAATCGTAGCTCTGGTCTACTGACACTTGCCTTGTTCCAGGTAGGCAGTGAAGCACTTTGTGGTTACCTTACCCCTCCCAAGGCTTGGGGGAAGCACAGCATCATCCCCTCTCACAGGGGATGAGGATGCTCAGGCATCGTGGGAAGTGGCAGAACTGGAATTGTATTCATGCTCATTTTAAACTTTCTTCCAGAGAGAAAAGAAAAATCCAAGGACGAACAAAAAGAGAAACTTGCTGTGTGGGTCACGAGTATGTATATCTTTTTCATGAATATACTGTTCCCTGCACATAAACGTGAAGAAATCCTCAAGGAGAAAATAAGGGAGGACAGGCTGCATCACGCGGCCACGGCCCACCAGAGGAAACTCGAAAACAATGAGTTGGAAGCAAGGTAACCTTACAGAACCTCTCAGCTCCTCTCCTCCATCTTTCCTTCCCATCTCTGTGGACCAAATGCTTTCATTAAAAGTATACAAATTCCTAAAGGAGGCAGCTCCTCCGAGAACCTGGAATTGTCAGAAGGATCCTGCCTGTGACCACCGGTTCTCTCAGGTGGTGAGAACATCTGGGCCCCAAAGCACGCACAGAGAGGCGAGGCCCCGCAGCAGCTGAGCGGCCCCAGCGCTAGGCGACCGGGTTCAGATCCCAACCCCGCCCCTTGACAGGTCGGTGGCCCTGGGCAAGGACCACTCACTGTGCTTTGGTGTCCCCATCTGTAAGTGCAGATAATCCCCCATCAGGCTGTTGTGAGGATTTAGTGAGCTGATGCTGTAAAGTGTCTGGAACGGTGCCTGGCACATGGTGAGCACCCACTACCTGCCGTTCGCCTACCTTTCTAGAACCATGGCTGAGAACTGTGCAGTCACATCTGGCCAGAGTGCTAAAGCCTGCTCTTTGCAAAGCACACGTCAAGCCTGTTGGTCTGTTGAAGAAAGCATTAAACTATACTTACGGGCAAAGACCACAAGAATATTTTAAAAGGCCACTCACTAGCTGTTAAGTTGCTACAGAGGAAAATGGTTCAAAAATCACTTTAGATACATGAAAATTTTCTTCTGGACTGTCTAGACATGGCATCACTTTATATTTCAGGCAAACTGAGGACAATTTACAGTTCTGCTTACAAAAACTACTGAAATCTAGGTATGGCCTACTAGGCATAAACATAATACAGCATAAAACTGGTTTTGAAATTGCAAAGAAAAATCAAAGGTACCTTCCTGTGTTTGCTTCTTGTGTTAGGCTGAACACCTTGAGAGAGGAAGAGGCCAGAAGACCAGACTATGATGTCGACATCACTGTGCTCAAGGAACCGGAGGATGCCCCATCCTCAAGTTTCACACTGAGCCCCCCTAAAGAGGACACGGCAGTGTCCCAATCCAGCAAGCCCGTCATAAGTAAGAAAAAGAAAAAGTAGAAGTTACTGGGTTTGGAAACGAGCCCCAAGAACAAGCAGATGTAAAAGGAGCTTACAATGGAAGCATGGTAACACATTTCCTGACCAATAAAATTGTGTCTTACTTCTTGTCATAGTGTCTTTGAAATACCACTGCCTGGGCCACTGCGTTTCATGTTTCTTATGTGGCTGAATCACAGAAATGCCTGCATTTTGAAAACGGAGCTGAATAATTAAAAAAAAATATATATATATTGAAGGCACATGCATTTAATACCCGTGTGCTATTTTCAAAGTACAGTATTGGAGATGAAGTTTAGAATCTGTTAAAACTCATCAGAAGACCGTCGGTGGTGGACAGATTTATTTAAACATTTCTTCAGGGCTCCCTGCCAGAGCCTGGACCACCTCCTATGCCCGTCACCACCCTGTATCCAAATTGTACCTGTCCTCACGTGCTGCCTTGTATCCACTCCTTCCCTGCTCCCACCAGTTCCCCAGCACTGCAAAAACTGCAGGGACAAAAGGCCAAGACAGAAAGGCTGAGGAATAGGTGTGCAGCCAGCAGTAAGTGAAACTTTAAGTCTGTGTTAGAAAATGTTATGCTAATTTGTGTTAAATTTAAGGGTAACCACCAAAAGCAAGAAAATACAATCTACAGCTTCCAAACTAGTGGAAGGAAGGAAACGATCATCCAACATGAAGCTGGGGAAAGGGAAAACGACAAAGAAAAAGGCTGGAAACTGAAATCACCAAAGATGGTGGGGAAAGTGCCAATACACCTCACCATTGTGAGCAGGTTCAACTCCCCTCTTCCTCCACCCAGGCCCCCAGATAATTAGACTGAGTTCAAAATCGAAATTCACTTCACTGTTACTCTTTACAAGGGAAACCTCTTAAAACCAAAGGATGAAAGTAAAATATGAAAAAAGATGTACTAGGAAAATCTAGTTGAGATAACTTGAATCGTAAGCAATATTAGAACAGAATTTAGAGGCGCCAGGGTGACTCAGGTCATGATCTCAGGGTCGTGAGATCAAGCCTGGTGTCAGAATCTGTGCTGAGTGTGGAGCCTGCTTAAGATTCTCTCTCTCTTGGGGCGCCTGGGTGGCTCAGTCGTTGGGCGTCTGCCTTCGGCTCAGGTCATGATCCCAGAGTCATGGGATCGAGCCCTGCATCGGGCTCCCTGCTCGGCGGGAAGCCTGCTTCTCCCTCTCCCGCTCCCCCTGCTTGTGTTCCCTCTCTCGCTGTGTCTCTGTCAGATAAATAAATAAAATCTTAAAAAAAAAAAAAAAATTCTCTCTCTCCTTCTGCTCCTCCACCCCCTTGCCTGTTCATTCTCTCTAAAAAAAATAAAGAACAATATAAAGCAAACAACTGAACAGGGATAAACCCAGAAATAATGATAAAAGGACCAACCCCTCAAAAGATGGATTATTCATAAACGTCTTACATCTTGGCCTTGCAAAAGCTGGCAGAATTATAGGGAGGAAGCAGATCAAAAAGACAAACATTTAGTAAGGATAAGCAAGGAAACTGAAAAGTTTGAACACAGAAACAGGACTGCAATAGAGAATAAACACTGACTGCATTTTAGGTTGAAAAGTACAACTTCAAAGGATACATCCAAGACCATGATCTAATTGTGCTGCAATTAATAAGTCAGCAATGAATCGATGATACCGAATGCCTTCTATTGCCAGAAAGAGACACAGTCTCAGGTAACTCATGGGTGAAGAGTGATTCATGATTTCATAATGGAAAGGCTAAGTTACATAAGACATGAGAACGGCAACAAAAATTCCAGCCAGGCTACATCTCAGCTGTGAGGACACCTTAAGCAGCTGTGGCCACTTGGGGGTTCTACACGACAAATGAAGAATGCTTGCCGTTTAGACCACACTGGGGCACTTCCATTCAGTCCTTTGTATTATACGTGGTCTAAAAATCACATTCGTACTCAAGAGAAAAACCAAGTCTAGCAATTACTTTGGCCAAATGCTCTGGGTTCGCTACCACAGATCTAGTGACCAGGGAAGGGACCCGAACTCCGAGAAGCTCTAGCTGCTAGAATATCCCCAAGGACGAGCCAGGGGCCCTCTGAGCGGAGTGGTCCACAAGCAAGCAACAGGTGAGAGACTCAAAGCCAAACCAGAATTTTAAAAACCTTAACAATTTATTTGTCTTATTTTCCAATAAAATATTCACATAATGTCAAAAGAATTGAATGAAAGAGATGTAGCCGACTACCTTTAATTATTTCCACATAAATATTTAAAATCTAAAAACCCCAGCGGATCATCGGACTGAGTAGAAATTTGATTCTTCAAAGCAAGTATTGCTTTACTATTGTCATTAATTCAGTCAATAATATGACCGAGAACCTGCAGCGGTAAACAAAATGCCTGCTGAGCTGTTTTTTAAAAGATGTTTCGGCGAGTCATTACGGGTCAATCCAAGAAGAATATGTTATTGAACTGCGTTGCACAAAGTTTCTTTACCTCTTCTGCAAAAAAAAAAAAAAAAAAAAAAAAGGCAGAAAACGGGAGTGAGAAACTGAGGTTTTCACTTAAAAGGTTATAGGATATACGTTAGTACTTTAAACTCTTCTGGAATAGAGTTGGGAATAAATGTCTGCATTTACTGACCTTGAAGCTCCGAGGCCTAGGTCAGAAATGTTCATCAATCAAGAGAAAGGACAACAAAAGCTTTGAGTGCCCCGAGACCTCAGTGCTCCTCAGGGCCGGGGGAGGCGCAAGCGCCTGACACACCCACGGGCTGGGGGACTGGAGTGCAACTTCTAAAACGCTGACAATCAGGTACAACCCTCCAGGAACCCTAGCTGCCACCCGGGCCGCGGTTCAAGTGCTCCCCCGGGGGCGGCACCATCATGACTCCATTCCCCCTGCGCTGGGTGCATTCACTGCTGTTTCTAATGCACACGACTCTTGCTACAAGTACTAGTAAGAGAAAAATGTACTGCGTCCTAGCAGATTTGTGCAGAAAACAAAACCACACACCTAACTTTTCTCCTACGTAGAGCAGTGCCCCACCGTCCCGCTCAAGCGGAGCAGCAGGAGAGCCCGAGGCAGTGAAGGGGACACCACCCTCCCCAGCACAAGCAGCTGTCAGGATCAGCCGAGGCGATCCCTGGAACCACAGTGCGCTCGGGACCAGACAACTGGAAGGCGGGCGGGAGGTCCCGCGCTACTGGTCGGCTCAGCCACCGACAGAGGGCTGTAACCCGTGCAGTGAACCTGACAGCTCTGCCTCGGGATGGCTCTTTATCACCGGGAATAAAAGTGGACATTTTTATACACGGTGAATAAAGCCATGGGATTTTTTTTTCCTTTTAGCATTACAGAAAATTTTCCTTCAGGCACTGCCAGGTCTCCTGTAACACAGGGAAGTTTTTCATGTACTTTTTCAAGGCACGGTGCTACAGAAGAACACAGAATGGATCAAACCGTGGTTTCCTTTAAGCAACAGGCATCTGCTCAACATCCCCCCAGTCGTGACTCACTCTCTAGCAGGTTTCCCGGCACACTGAATGGACAGCACTCACGTTCTGCTCAAGTACCAAAGCCTATTTACCATTGACTTCAATCAGGTTTGCGTTTTTTTGATTCAGAATAACATACAGCTCCCGCTGGTCAGACTTCTTCCCGACAACCCAGTAATCGCTCATTGCCTTCACAATGACTTCTTCGTCCTCATCCACTCTGCAAGACACGAGTTCCAAAATTCAACAGTTTGTTATAGGGTTAGCTACAGCGTGAAAGACACACACATGCTAAGACCAGAAACTGGAAACCAGTCACTTGAAAAGTGTGGGGAGTCACGTGCAAGTGACCAGTGACTTCGGGGCCTCCTGATCTCCTTGGAAGGGTGGCCCTCTGAGGCGGCTCGGGGCCACTCCTTTGAAGAGGATTCCTTCAATGCCTCTTCTCTCCTTAGAAAGGGAACACCTAAGTTGAGAAGTTGTTAGAATTACCTAGTAAAATCACTGTTGATGTCACCCAGAATCTTCATTAAATCCGGATGCACGGATGTAAGTGACACACTAGGTGTTTTCCTCATGTGAATTGTACTTTTCTCAGCTAAATTCATATGGTTGAAGTAGATAAACTTAAACTGGGGTTCTTTTTCAGACCTGTGAAAACATGTCATTAAAATGGTAACATTCTCAAAGAATAATTATCCAAACAACAGCACTACATTGTTAAAACCTTAAATCCATGTGGCTAAGGCCTTGTATTTTCGATCGCTGGGCCTTCAAATCAAGAATCTCAGTTAAGATGTAATAGGCTCTTTGTTCACTAGTAACTTACTTGATAACCGTGATCAATATGATGGAATTTTCCAGATAGGTGAAGTTTATCTTTTTTTGAAAAACCAGTATTATAAGCATTTTTGTGATGATTTTCTCCATAATAGTGCTTTAGAAATGGCAATCACTTGACTAGTCTCCGCGTTTTGAATTTTTTAAAAAAGTGCAAACTACACACAGGCCACCTGTCTTCTAGCAGAGGCGTCAGCAAACAATTAGAGGCCCTGGGGCCAACCGTGGCCTTTTTCCTAAACAACGCTTTAGCGGCACACAGCCACACCTGTATGTTCACGTACCGTCTTTGGCCACTTCCACGCTTCAGCGACAGTTGAGTATTTGCGACCTACACAGCCCACAAAATCTGAAATGCGTATGATGTGGCCCTTTGCAGAAGCTGTTTGCCGTCCCGTTCTAGGGGAGTAACGGCTCCCTTATCCCACGGTGCTGGGGAACGAATGCGCTCCCTGTATATCATCCACCACAGAACTGAAGCTTACTTCTGTAACAAAGCTTTCACCACCCTAGAGGGAGACCGTTCTAAGGCGTATTAGGCTTTTCTGCTGAAGCGTAATGAATATTTTAATTGGAATACATCTTTTACTATTTGAAACGACTGGCCAAGGCTACCACACTGTCTCCCAGGTCCAAGTCTGGGCTCCTGAGGGAGCCCCTCCGACAGCGAGGACACAGCTCCCGGGGCCTCCCGCCCTCCCTGCTCACTGCACCCTTACTTCAGTTACACTCGGGTGTGGTGACAGTCTGAGCAGCCCTGCCACTGGGGGGCTCAGAAGCCTTCTCTGCTTACTTCTGGGTTAGCAGCCATGTTCTGGTGGGCTGAGGGTGCCGGAAATCCGACCTCTGGAAAAGTGGGTTACTACTGTAATACTTTACATCTAGGCAAAGAAAGAATGTGGATGGCTTAGTGTCCAGGAAAATGAAAAGAGAATTCGTAACAAAACCAGAATATGTTTTTAAGTAGGCCCCTAAAACTAAGAAAAGCAAGTATAACTACGAGAAACACTGGGAGGACGGAACATTTCAAAGACATGTGGAAAGAGTTGGGAATTTTGCTGTCCAGGCAGACAAACTTCTACCCAGCCACAATCAGGCTTCCAGTCCTGGCTGTTCCGTTTCACCCCAAAACATTCTCTGTGGCCTCTCTCTTTCCCTCACTTAGAATATGTAAAATACTCTTCTAAGAAGATCTAAATTATTTCTTTTGTACCCACGATGGAAATTTACATGAGCAAATGCTATGCAGCAGTTACAACAGGGACCAACGTGGCCTCTTTCTACTCCGCCTTCCACAAGGATAACGTAAAAACAGGAATAGAAAAATTGCTACTTGCTTTTTCCCTGTTAACTTGTCCTCTTAATAAAAGAAAAACGAGAGACAAGCTCACAATAAAAACAGCAAGGATAACATCCATCCTACAGGCTTTTAGTTCTATCGAAAGAAACATCTAACGAACGCTGTGCTAGTTTTGAAGGAGCAGCCGCCACATTCACCTGGTATCTCTTCCAAAGAGCGAAAAGACTCCTTTTAAACACCAAAGTGTTTTTTTTTCCTAAACACAGAAATGCAAATTTCTTGCCTTCTTAAAAAAAGAACATGCTAAATACAGTTACCTACGTCAATATAAGATACACTGAACACAGGGAAATGCAGAATTCCTCTTGACAATCTGTTGCAAAGTTTGGTTTAAAAATATCATAGCACAGTAACGATATCCTCAAAGAACATGGAAAGGTGGGGCCTGTCTTAAGTGGTTGTTTTTAGAGAGGATTTTCTGTTCTCTGTCAACCCTTTCTTCGCATCCCTTTGACTCTTTCTTCTACAACTGGCTGAAAACCCAAGGATCTGTGATTGGCAGAGTCACAGGGAGGTCTCCCATGAGTAAACAGCTTCAGTTTTACTGAGCTGCCAGAGATTTCAGTGTTTAAGGACCAGGTATGTGAAAGCCCATCCAAACTTTAAGAGCACGCCAGGAAAGGCTCTGAACCGGTGGAGGAAATCAGCAGATGTTTAGCAGGTGCTTGACTGCTTGTGGAGTTTCCCTGTGGACGTCAATGGCTGGCTGGGAGCACCGAAACCATCTGGTGGTTTTCCTTGTTCTGGGCCTCGTTCCAGATGGCTCAGGTTGCCAGACACGTGGTTTCTAGGTGAGGACGGCTATTCCTCACTTAACAAACCGAACTAAAAAACTAGATTCTGAATTGACCGATGTGTAGATTGTAAAAAAGGAAAACTGCTCTTAATTTAGGAGTTACACAGGACAGCTCTGTTCCTTTGCATGTCTAGGGTAATCAGGACGTGGGGCACAGCTGAGCCCTTGGAATATGCACGTGAACTCTGCCCTGGAAGGAAGGCTTCCCCACTCCTGCTCCCCCTGCACCCCCTCTGGACGCCAGCCGGGCCAACCCATCCCTTCTCGCTTCCCTCCTGCCTGGCATCCCGTCCTGAGTCTCATTGTCAGCAACCTGCTGTCAGTGGGTGCGCTCCTCACTAGGAATCCTAGCGCTGTCAACCTCCTAAGGAACTGGGCTGGTTTACAAATGTATTCAAAATGATAAAAACGGATTAGAAGAACTGCTCACAGGAAAGAGTCTCCTTTTCCGGTAACTTTGTACCTCCTTCTCCTCCTCACACCTTTCCAAATTTTAGCACTCAAAGTGGCTAGTGAGTAGGAATATGTGAAAGAAACAGAAACAAATGTCTCGAATTCAGAAAACGATCAATTTGGGGGGAAAAGTCTTAAATTAGGGCCCTTCTCCTAGCCCTTAAAAATTCCAGGTGAATTAGACTGAGACACAAGATAAAACCATACAAGTACCACAGACGATAATGGCATTTTAAAAATGATATTGGGATAGAAGGCTGCAAGTAGGCCAGTGAAGAGAGAAATCTAAAGGAAATGCCCAATGAAATGGACTACATACAAATCCCAGACATGTTATCAAAAATAGTAAAACCAAACTCAAAAAAATACGTGGTATGACTGAAAAGCACAGATGTAAAAGCAAAGATATAAAGCACTGGAGCAGGAAGAGCCAATGGACATGGACAGGCGGTTCGTGGGAGACAGAAATGCCAACCTCCGTGTCACCTAGTGGGCGTCTGACACAGCACAGTGCATGAGTGCTGGTGGCCCCTGTGGGAGGTGACCCACTGTCACTGCGCATTCCTTCTGCCCCAGAACTCCATGCCAGGGATATCTACGAACAGGATGAGTACACGTATGCACCAGATGGTTTAATACAGAGCTGTTTTAATGCTAGCAGCCAGAACCAGACCACCCATCAAATGCAACAAGGATTCAACAAACAGAGCTCATCTATCCAATTAAGTAACATGAAACCCTGAAAGAGAAGAGGCAGATCCATATTTATTGGTTTAAAATGATGTTCATGCCATATACTTTTTAAAAGCTACAGATTTACAACATGACATGGTTTAAAAAGCCCATCCGTAAAGAACACTGTGTATATGTCAGTTTTCCTATGTGTACAAGTCTAAAAACATACAAGCTAAATGAGAGAAGATTTCCAATATTTATATTTCTGAATTTAAAAATTAAGGACATAGGGGATGCCTGGCTGGCTCGGTCGGTTAAGCGTCTGCCTTTGGCTCAGGTCATGATCTCAGGGTCCTGGGATCGAGCCCCATGTTGGGCTCCCTGCTCAGCGGAAAGTCTGCTTCTTTCTCTCCCCCCTGCTCCTGCTCTCTCTCTCAAAAAAAATGTTTTAAAAAAATAGAAATTAAAATTAAGGACATAAATTACTCTCTAAAAAAATTTTTTTAAATACTTAAACCAAGTCCTTGAGTAGAAAAAAATCAAGGTGTCACACAAGTAATAGAAACCAAATACCAAACAAACCTACTTCATGCCATTCTTTAAAGGGGTGACCTCAATTTTCTAAGGAACATTAAAAGAACTGCAGCTTGGGGCGCCTTGGTGACTCAGTTGGTTAAGTGGCTGCCTTCGGCTCAGGTCATGATCCCAGGGTTCTGGGATCGAGGCCCGTGTCGGGCTCTCTGCTCAGCGGGGAGCCTGCTTCTCCCTCTCCCTCTGCCTGCCTCTCTGCCTACTTGTGCTCTCTGACAAATAAATAAATAAAATCTGTAAAAAAAATAAATAAATAAATAAAAGAACTGCAGCTTAAGAGTATGGATTCAACACGAAACCTCTCGCCCTGAGCCAGCGCTATGGCTGCTCTGCCCCGAGGACTAAGCCTGACAGAACAGCGGGGCACCTGGCGTTGACCTCTGGGGTCAGGACGGGGACAGCTGGCTGCCTCGTCAGCACCCCTCACCCTTCGGCAATGCCGGGAGGAGCTGGGATGAGTCTTGGAGGTCCTAGGACTAGCGTGTAAAATGGTTTGATCTGGGTCAGGATTTCCAGAAGAAAAGCACATTATCTTTTGTACTGAATTCAGAGCATTTTCCTCTAGTCAGCTGATACTTAACAGCCTGGCAAGCGAGAGCCCCTTACAACGTATAAAATCTCAGATGCGTCGAGAGCAACCCTAAGGTCAGCTTTTTTTCTTTTTTTTTTTTTTTTAAGATTTTATTTATATATTTGACAGAGAGAAACAGCGAGAGAAGGAACACAAGCAGGGGGAGGGGCCGAGGGAGAAGCAGACTCTTAGCGACTGAGCCACCCAGGCGCGCCCTAAGGTCAACTTTCAAAGACAAAAACAACTATGCCTCTAGGGTCTCTGTTCTGCCCTAAGTTTAGTGTGTTCGACCATCGAGTTTTCCAGGTGCGCGTCTCCCAGGGGCCACGGATACTACGCAGTTCTGTTAACAGTCAAAACCTGTCCCCTGCGATAGACGGAGCTGTGCTAGACCATACACAGCAAACGGTTAACTGTCGAATCTAAGTGGGGGGCTGTGTGTGTGTTCACGGCGTCATTTTTTCCACCTTCCTGTGTTTGGAAATTTCCATAATAAAATATTGGAGAGAAAACTGCTTTCTAATGAAATTAGACTGTTAATGTCCATGGCCCTCTCCTTTCTTCAAACTATTGATTTGGGGAAAAAATCTGAGAGCCCTTCCTCTAGCCCCTGAAAATTCCAGGTGAATTAAAGATTGAAACATGGGAAGATAAAACCATAAAAGTACCAGAGATAAAAATAACCTATTTTTATATCAGGGTAGAAAGCCACAAGTATGACACCGAAGGGAGAAATCTAAAGGAAGTGACTAATAAGATGGACTATATAAATCCCAAACTTGTATGTTATAAAAACCAATAAAACCAAAGTGAAAAATGAAAAATAGGTGACATGACCTCCGTACAATCCCAAGGAAAGTTGACCTTTGCAGAATAGAAGGTCCCTGACAAGCAAGACTTGCTCAGATACTCACTGATGAGTTAATTAAAATCCGTCACATCTACGGAACGCACAGGCAGAACAGTTAACATGTCCAGCAATCTCCCGGGAGGGGAGGGGGGGTTTGGGGAAAGCAGGGAACTACACCTTCTCTCTCTCCACTCAGCAGTTTATAATTTGCATGATACCCAACAGATCTGACTCACTTATGTTTCCTTCAGAAAAATCTGACAGTTTCATGGTGAAAAAATTAAACCTCAAGAGACAAACCATAAGAGATGCTGAACTCTAGGAAACAAACTGAGGGTTGCTGGAGGGGAGGTGGGGGGGGATGGGGTAGCTGGGGGATGGGCATTAAGGAGGGCACTTGATGGAATGAGCACTGGGTGTTACATGCAACTGATGATTCACTAAATTCCACCTCTGAAACTAATAATACACTATATGTTAATTAAATTGAATTGGAAAAAATTAAACCTCGAGAGGGAAAGCGGTCAGGCACGTTCATTTCTTGGCCTTATCTTTTCTAATGCGAAGTAAGCTGTTGACAGTAACAATCCACACGCAGATACAGAACCTACACGTACTATCACCTGGACCCTGTGTGTGACCTCTTTACAGGCTGGTGCTTCTGGAAGACCATAAAGGCACAGCATGGGATCACTACAAACACAGGTTATACATAAATTCATACACGTTAGTAACTTCTCAAACATACAAGAAGTCCATATAAAGAGGGCTTTTGTTTCTCAAAGTACTTCCCACGTGCTCGCTTAATCTTTATAACATGACTACATTGAGAAGAGAGTAGAAAGAGGTTCAATGACTTCCCAGTGTTCTTAGAACCAAAATGAGTTTAACCTGAGTCTCCTGATACACTACTCGAGCTACAGTCCTTCAAGGCACCAGATTCCAGCCCAAGGCCCTAAAGGCCAACATCATAGCTAACTTTCCCCCCTACATGTATGCACAAGAGGCAAAGTACTTTCCGTCTACACGAGGCCCAAGCCCTGCTGATTACCACTGCCGGTGTGAATTTTACAGTCTGGGCTGGTGGTCAAGTGGGATGTGAGGTGGTGCTCACGAGGTCCAGCCCACAGGCACGGCTAGCACACCCCACCCCATTCGTTTACGCCACCGTCAGGGGAGAGCTGAGGGAAGGTATTCGCAGAAGACCCAGCCCCACCATCATCATGGAGCAGCAAAGCGCAGGGAACAGTTCCCCAGGGAGCTTTTCAGACAGGCCTGAACTGCACGTTTGTTCTCTGGCTTCAGAGAAAACACAAATGATATTACCATCCATATTCTTAAGTAAAAACTACCCTTCTTCTTCCCAAACCAGTTAAATGCCAGAAAGTAAACATGAAGCAAAGTACAAACCCAGACATTCTTTTGTTGATGTTAAACTGCTCACAAATGTCAGATGCCAGCACTGTGAGCTGGGGCCCAACAACGCTGTCCAGTCTTCGGCAAAAATCCAACGTGGGCTGTACAGAGGCTAATGAGTAATTTAAAAAATACCAGTAAGTTTTAGAATTCTTTGTGTCGAAAAGGTCAATATTCATCTAACAGTCTTAATTACAGTATTCCAATGAAAACTTTACTGATCAGGAAAATAAAACAATTAAATGACTGGCTCTCCCTCCCCTCCCAAAGAGAAGAGAAACAGAAGGGTCAAAGTTATATTTAAGGTGTAAAAGAGTCGAAGACCTATCTCATTGTGCATATCAATTTAAGCACACCCCGTGGGCTGGTAAATTGGCTGGCTACCCCCAGTAGACCGAAGAAGGTCAAATATTTAACGCACAGCACACAGCATTCAGGGCCCAGCTGCTCTCTGGTCCTTTACAAACACGACCCCATTTAACCCCCTAAACCCCCTTTGATAAAGGTACTCTTATTATCACTTAACAGGCAGGGAGGCACAGAAAGGTGCCCAGGGCCCACCGCTAGGAAGCAGGTAGGCCAGGACGTCAAAAATACGAGGAAGAGCTAGTTCCCTGGCAGGGATCACAGAGGGGAGCTGTGCTTCACAGAGCGTCTATGACAACATGTTTATTGTTTAGGGATAGAACACAGCAAGGTTAAAGAGAAAAGGCTTATCTGCTCGGGCTGAAGTCAGATACAGGTGTGTACCTACCATCAATCATAAAGCACACAGCTGCACTCATGGCCTGGGAAGAGAAAACAAACCAAAGATTACAAAACGGCACAAAAAAGAAATTCGATGACCCAATGCAGTGGCCTTGTTTGAATCTTGACTTGAATCACTTGGTCAAGATATTTTTTAGTCAACTGGAGAAATCTGGATATGGACTGGAGAGCACAGAACATTAAGGAAAGTGTTTATTTTGCCAGGTGTGCTAATAACATGGTGGTTAGGTGGAAACAGATGCCCTTATTAGAGATGCAAATTGAAGCATTTACGAGTGAAATGACATGATCTAACATGTTATAGCAAAAAAAAAGTACAGGGAAAACAGATGAAAGGTCAGCATGTTAATTAAATTAAGCTGTGTGCTGGGCGCCTGGGGATTCATTCTTCTAGTCTCTCTTTTTGTGTATGTTTGAAAATTTCCATGAACGCAGTTAAAAAGCCCCCAGCAGATTAATGTCCCCTTGTCTCCCCTTTCATGATAGTGAACGTTGCTGTTGGGACACTGGCTACAGCAACCAAGACCATAAATCCAACAACCAGACACGTTTGAATGTATCACTGTATATGGTATACACCGCATGGTGGTGAAACAGTCACACAGAACACACGGCCTCCTCAGGACGGAAAGCCACAGAGCTCCTCCCGAGGCCCGTTCCTGCAGGCGGCCACTTTTAACGGCTGTAGATACTACGGCTCTAGTGCCACGGCCTTCAGACGTCACACGGGGTCCCTCCTCACGTCACGACAGGAATGAGCCCCCAGCAGCTTCCCTCTTCCTCCCCGTTGTTTGGACCCGCTCCAGCTTCCCCACAGGTCACCCCACAGCCCCGATGGCCCAGTTCTCACGCCACAGTCTCAGGCAGCAGCTCCTGGATTGCAGCTTTTCACACGAGCACACTTACCCCGCCCCCCGTCTCTGCACCTCTCCCCACACCCTCCTCTCAACCTCTGGCAGCTGCACCTCTCTTTCCACACAGTCATACCTAAGCACACCTGCACTATTATTCTGTAAGTGAATCGTAATGATCACCTGCTTATAAACAGGCTGCAACGCTCGTGGCTCACAGGCGAGTTCCATCCAGCATGTGTTTCTTTCTGTGTAATTCTGACTTAGACGCCAGCTAGTTTCCTACGAACATTCCAACTTCCAGCCTCTCCTGAGATACCAGCACAGCTGAAACCACCAGCTCTGCTTTCCGAGGTGCTGCCTCGTGGAGGTGAGTGGCCCGGGGCCTCCTTCCGACTCGAGCGACGCCGTGTTTGACAGCATGACTCCATACTGAAGCCCCATGCGCTTAGGTCTACCATCTGCGGGGTTCCTGCAGGCATCTGCATGCGTGACTCCTTACAGGTTGGTTTTTTTTAAATGTGCCTTTCAAGCCCTTGTTTAAAAACTTGAAGAACTTCCAATACACAGAAAAGCACACAGAATGGCATGACGAACCCTGCAGGCCACCACTTCCCCAGTGACTGTCAGCTGGCACACAGTCCTACCCTTCGCCCCTCCCCTACCTACATGCTCATCTCAGATGCCACAGTTACTCCAGACACAGATCAGTTAGGTATCCACGGAGGACTAGGGAGCCCGTTCAAAACGGCAGCATGAGGAGCTCCACGGATTCTCCTCAGTCTAAACACCGTAATTGAAGAAAATTATAAAAAACAATACTTCAAATTTCCAGAGGGAAACTGGCCAAAGGGCAGACAGCAAATGGAGGAATGTTTAAGAACACCCACTACATCTGAGTATTAACAGCATCAGTCTTTATAACTTCAGAGCCGTTAACACATACAGTATTAAAAAGAAGGAAGATCTCAAATCAAGAACTTAAATTTCCATCCTCAGACCTTAGAAAAAAAGAGTAAACTAAACCTAAAGCAAGAGAAGGAAGAATATAATGAAGATCAGAGCTGAAATAAATGAAATAGAGAACAGAACATCAATATGAAAAAAATAATACCAGAAGTTGGTTCCCTGAAAAGATGAGCAAAATTGAAAAACCTTTAGCTAGACTGCCTAGACCAAGTCAAAAAGAGAAGAGACACAAACCACTAAAATGAGGGATTAAAGAGGAGACACCATTACTGATTTATGGGGGGAAAAAAGATTTTAAGGCTATAACACTATGAAAAATTACATACGAACATACTGAATAACAAGCAGAACAAATTCCCAGTAAGACACAAACAACTGAAACCGACTAGAGAAGAAATAGACAATAAGACCTAGAACAAGGACGGAGACTCTTTCATAATGGGAAGGTTTCCAACAAAGAAAAGCCCAGATGTAGATGGCTTCATTGTGACCAATTATTCAAAGAATTAACAGCAATCCTTCACAAACTCTTCCAAAAAACAGGAGATGAGGAAACACTTCCCAACTTAGCCTGCAGCCAGTAGAAGCCTGATACCAAAACCAGACCACGACTTCAGGAGGAGAGAAAAACCACAGGCCAGCATCCCCTCTGCCCCGAGCCCACGGGGCATCAGCAGAGCTCTGGAGAGCTGGGGCCAACACCCAGTAAAACTCTGGAAATCAAGGCTCGAGAGAGCTTCCCTGGATGATAAGTCTCCGCACACGTCACACATCCCCGCTAGAAGAAACAGGCCCCGTGCTGTCTGTGCAGCTCCACCGGGAGGGGACACCTGGAAGCTTGGGCCTGGTGACTCCCGGATCCTGCCCTGTGCGCCTCTTCCCTGGACCGTCTTTCCTCTGCACCCCTTTGCTGTAATAAACTGTAACTGGGAGCGTGCTGGCTTCTCTGAGTCCTGTGAGCACCTCTAGTGAATTCCTGGGCCTGATGGTGGTCTTGGGGGCCCCTGAGCTAGCACTGTGTGTCAGGAGCGAGGGTGGTCTTGGGGACTCCTGCACTTTGCAGTGAGAAACCACTGAACTGAATACATTAAATGGGCTAACTATACAGTATGTGAATTTTATCTCAATAAAGCGGTTTTGCAAAAAAGAACATTTTAAAGTAACTGTGATGCCATCATCCCATTTAAAATTCTACCTATTGATTGACTCAAAAAAGGAAATCCTATAAACAACAGAGTGTACCAGGATATTTCTTCCACTAGGGTTCAAAGTCATTCCCCCGTGTCATTCAGAGGAGAATGATTTTAACTTGCTAGAAAAGTGGGCTTTGCCCTACCCCAGTTACGGTTCATTTTCAGACACGTCTGTTTGTACACCTTCCCTGGAATTCTCTCCTCCTGTGGCATTCCTTAGCAGCCCCAACATTCAATCAAATCTCGCAGCCATACTATTTTATGAATGCAGCATCTTTTATTCTGGAGCCCCTGCACCCAGAACAGAGCCCCCCTTCCTGTTCCATTGCGGAAATCCCTCAGAGGTGCTAACTTCGTCACCGACTCAGAGGTGTATCACCTCAAGCCTCCTTCTTACTGTTCTCCTGCGTCACGGCCACTGTTGTGGATTCCAAGGTATTCTTGTTCTTGGTTTCCTCACTGATTCTGATATACAACCCCATGCAAACCCGAAGAATGGATGCATGAGGTAACCTTTCTGAGACTTTTCACTATTAATACACCTTTCTTCGATCTCACCTGTGATGAGATCGTTTAGCTCAGCAAAGAATTCTACACTAAAAAACTCTTTCTCTCTCTCTCTCAACTTTGAAAGTCTTCCTTCCTTTTTACCTAACATCTGCTGCCAGTAAGGAAACAGCTGCTAATGCCGGTTTTATTTACAGGTGACCTGATTTTCCTTCTGGAAGCTTCTGGGCTCTTCTCTTTATATTTCTGAAACTGCCCACTGTGTGCATTGGAGTGGGTCTTTCTGATTCACTGTGTGAGACATTCAGTGGGCCTTTTCAATCTGGGAAATGTGCTCATAATACACTTGACTAATTTCTTCAACTTTTTATGAATCAGATGTAGAAATCCCTCTCTCCCATCTTTTCTCCATATTTTATTTAATTTAAAAATTTTTTTCTTTCTTAAAAATTATTTTTTTAATTTAAATTCAATTAGCCAACATATAGTACATCATTAGTTTTTGATGTAGTGTTCAATGATTTTCTCTATCAGTTCCAACAATATTATTGGAAATAATCCAATACCTTCTTTCTTGAACCCAAGATTTTCATCTCTGGTCATTTTATCTTATATTTGAGGCAGGGCAACTTATCTTTAACACTTCTAATGAAGTTCTCCTGTCAAAAATTATATTTTCAGGGGACAGGGGCTGAAGGGTTATTGTTTAATGGGTACAGAATTTGGGGTGAAGACAGAGAGTTTTGGAAACAGACAGTGGTGACGTCTGTCCAATACTGTGAATGTACTTAATGTCACCAAACTATACACTTAAAAATGGTTAAAATGGCAAATTTTATGCTATGTGTATCTTGCCCCAATAAATAATTTTAAGAATTATGTTTTCAATTAACCTAAGTTTACTCTAGCCCTGAGTCTTTCATGTCCTGTTTCAGTTTTATAGATACACTTCTCTAATCTCTGCGGATGTTAATTTTTACAAGTTCTCTCTGTTCTCAAAGTCATTTTTGTTTCGTTCAAGATCTACAGCTTTGTTTTTCTAAGCACACTAAAGGATGAGGGAGTGCGTGGCTGACCAGGGAAGGAGGCTCTGCTCTGGGGCAGGACGAGGGCAGCAGTTACACGGGCACCTAAATCACCGCTTTTCTCAGGTGTTCACATCCACACTAGCCACGTAGGGCTCCCCAGATTTTTTTTTTTTTTTTTTTAAGATTTTATTTATTAGAGAGAGACACAGCGAGAGAGGCAACACAAGCAGGGGGAGTGGGAGAGGGAGAAGCAGGCTTCCCGATGAGCAGGGAGCCCGATGTGGGGCTTGATCCCAGCACCCTGGGATCACGACCCAAGCGGAAGGCAGACGCTTAACGACTGAGCCACCCAGGCATCCCCCAGATTGTTTTTCTTTAAAAGGACCCTTGAGAGGCGCCTGAAAATGTCTGCCTTTGGCTCAGGTCATGATCCTAGGAAAAAAAACAAAAAAGGACCTTTGACTTTTACCCAGGGATACACGCTCAGTTGCCTATGTGTGTTTAAGGATGGGAAAAGGGGTGGCTGGCTGGTTTATATACAACACTTCACTTACTCCCCTCCCTTCCAAGCTCACCTCCCACTCCTGACTCCTTAGGTGCTGTCTCCAAACCAGGAGCTTCTCTGGGTTTCTGTGGGGGCATGTGGGCTCTTGCCTCAGTGCACCTCCTCCACTCACGTCCTTGGCCGGACTTCATCAGCACCCCACTTACACCCCCTTCCTGCCTTCCAGGGAGAGAAGGATCCCTCCACTCTGATGTTCACCTCCACCCTGTGCTCTCACACCACCATTTCTAGGCCTTTACAAATTAAAACATAACTATACTCTCAGGTGGGGAAGAAGATAAACACACATGCTTATCAGCCTTCTTTCTTGAACCCAAAACCACCTTTAGAAAACCCAACCTAACATATCTGAGCTATGACTGGACTACCGTTACAGAATCAGCAAGCCCGTGCTTTCCAATCCGAGAAAGCAGAACTCACTGAAGTGTGGCCACAGCCCTGCACCGGAAGGCATCTAACGACGAGGCACCGCCATCTTTGCTGGCCTCTGATGTGTGAGGCCCATGGGGCTTCAAAGGCTTCTGAGTCACAGCCTCAGACAGGGTCCGACAGTGATTCTTACACTAATAAGAAAAGCACTGAGGGGGCACCTGGGTGGCTCAGTTGGTTAAGCGACTGCCTTCGGCTCAGGTCATGATCCTGGAGTCCCGGGATCGAGTCCCACATCGGGCTCCCCGCTCAGCAGGGGGTCTGCTTCTCCCTCTCACCCTCCCCCTCTCATGCTCTCTGTCTCCCATTCTCTCTCTCAGATAAATAAATAAAACCTTAAAAAAAAAAAAAGAAAAGAAAAGCACTGAAAAGGAGCTGAAAATAAACCCACTGTTCCAGAGAAGCACCCATTTTGAGTTTTACAACAAGGAGAACTTTCAGCATCTGTCCTGAGAAATATTTAAGAGGTGTGTAGGCAGGCACACTCACTCGTGTGCAAGGAAGATTTACTTTCACGTTAATCTGTACTGCTGGAGGGAAAAGCAGTTGTTACCTTATAAACAATTAAATGCAGTGCTTCGTAAGTGTCATCCGTATTTACAAAAATTTTGGGGAATCTGCATTTTGCTTCTGGATCGTTAAGGTTCAAGGGTCCAGTAAGAAATCTGAAAAGTAAGCACAGAAATGACTCAATTCAATTGGGTAAATGATAAACAGGAATATGTAAGACAGAATATATTGCCACTTAATATATATTCTTTTTTTTTTTTTGGAAGCTAGACATTACTTGGAAAACACCAAATTTCAGAGTCTGATAAAGTTTTAATTCACTGGAAACAACAGCATTTCCTTTGCTGATGACTGCCAATAAACAGCACAAATGTAATTCAGTGTTGATGATTTTACCTTTGCCAAAAAAATAAAATAAAATAAAATCCAATACTATATATCGAAGAACAGAAGTTCTACCTTCCATAATGCTGAAGATTTCCTGGCATCTCCGCCCTTACTGGAGAATCCCTTCCCGCCAACTGTAAACAAATTCAACATTGGGAAATGACTTATTAGATTTTCTCCTTTTGAAGCTTTGAAAACCGCATTCATACCTACCAGCTGGCTCCATGCCATTTTTCCGTATCATTTACTCGTATTCCTCCCAATAAGAGGGGGGATTACAAGAGCTACATAAAGGCTGCATTGGTATGAACCAGAATGTTCATATCTTCATCGTACCCTACACTCCACAGACTGACTTAGTTCCTTTTATAGCAGTAACCGAAATTTCCCACGTGGTTAACATAAGCTGGGCAATGACCACCTCATAGGACCCTAGTGGCAGCGCACTCTTCCTATTGTCTCGTTTTGGAAACTCAAGTTAGCGTAAGTTCCCCAGCACACAGCGCTCCTGTGTGGCAGGGCCAGGCGCCAACCCCATGCCTGTCTGACATCAAAGCCTGCCGCCAGGACGTCATGCCTCCTCACGATTTGTATCTGTAGCACACTCCTGAGACTCTTTTGCCGAAGATGTGCTATTTCAATACGCACAGGAAAAGGAAAACAAACAAAAACAAAAACAAATCCAATAGTCATGTTAGCTGAAACTTCTTTCTAAAAAATTCTGACATTCTTTTAGTCTACATAAAATTTTAGCATATAGCCACACACACACAAAAAAGGTTGAGAAACATTCTAAATCCAATAGTAAAAATGGGTATCTGACCCTCAGGTAGGCAGTCTGTACTGAGAAAAAAAGGCCTCGGGCGCCTGGGTGGCTCAGTCGGTTGAGCGACTGCCTTCGGCTCAGGTCATGATCCTGGAGTCCCGGGATCGAGTCCCGCATCGGGCTCCCTGCTTGGCGGGGAGTCTGCTTCTCCCTCTGACCCTCCCCCCTCTCATGTGCTCTCTCTCTCTCTCAAATAAATAAATAAAATCTTGGGCGCCTGGGTGGCTCAGTCGGTTAAGCGTCTGCCTTCGGCTCAGGTCATGATCCTGGAGTCCCGGGATCGAGTCCCGCATCGGGCTCCCTGCTTGGCGGGGAGTCTGCTTCTCCCTCTGACCCTCCCCCCTCTCATGTGCTCTCTCGCTCTCATTCTCTCTGTCAAATAATAAATAAAATCTTTTTTTTTTTTAAGATTTTATTTATTTATTCATGAGAGACAGAGAGAGAGAGAGAGAGGCAAAGGGAGAGGCAGGCTCCCAAGGAGCAGGGAGCCTGATGTGGGACTCGATCCCAGGACCCTGGGATCATGACCTGAGCCGAAGTCAGACGTTTAACCATCTGAGCCACCCAGGCGCCCAATAAATAAAATCTTTAAGAAAAAAAAAAAAAGGCCTCATGCGTCCACACTCACATTGCCGTGTTGAATACTGTGGTTTCCTATTTTATAAGCCCCGCTCTCTGGGCAGGTAGATAATAAAGTACCAGGGTTTTCTGGGGGGGGCAGCTGCACTGCCACACATGGAAAAGCCTCCTGAGGGTGTGGACGTAAACAGGTGCTTTAGCATCAAGCAGATCCTAAGATCAAGTCGTGGCCCTGCCACTTCCTGGCGAGGTGACCCCGGGTATGTCATTGAAGCCCCCTAGCCTGAGTATCCCAGCTGTAAGGTGGGCATAAGGTATCCTACTCAGGATCGTTGTCAGGATGCCAGGAGATAATTCACGTTTGCTGGGCACCCAGGACAGTGTCTGGGACATGGTACGTACCTAAGAAACATGAGCCACTGCCCTCAAACTGCCTAGAAAGGAACTACATGCAGGACCAAGTCCTTCTCAAAACCGGACTTTCAATTTCTTATCAAAGAGGGTTTTTTTTCCTGTTGTTTCAAGTTATAGCCTTAAATGGGGAGGGAGCGAGCGAGCGTGTGTATGCACCTCAGCTGAAATGATTCGTGGGCTATGAATATTTTTCATCCTCAACCTAATGAGAGCTGCAAAAGGACACTTTGGGGAGAAGGCTGCAGTATTACTTATAGGTCTCTGCAGAAAACTGGGAAAGTAAGCATCACAGTGGAAAAGCCAGGCAGGCAATAGAATATCTACAGAATGACACCTCATGCTTGTAGGTGACAAAACCACAGGATTCACCTTTCTTCTGTCAAAGATCCCAGGTGTTTTCAAATTCCCAGAACCCTACCTAAATCCTGTTTCTCCGCTACCCAATGAATTGCTCCTCTTAAAAACAGACCTTTGCTATCGTACTTGAACATAACAAAACAAAGAGCTGACACACATGATTTTCTGTGCTAAGCGATACACAACCAGATAAATATCACACTAGCAACGTAATGTATAGGTCAGAGGTGCCCCACCGACCACCGCATTACTCCACCCTCCTCCCCTGCCCCCCCCAGCCCCCCAGCCCGGTGGGCTTGTATGTATACATACAACATACATGTGCATGGAGAGAGACAGAGGCGGGGGTGGGAGGGAGGAAGACCAGTGCCCGGCCGTACCTCAGGTTCGATATGCCTTGGAAACAGAGACGTGGTGAGGTATTTGTATAAAATTCTCATGTCATCTTGTTCTAACCCACTCCTGAAATATCAGAAAAGCATGGTGTTAAAAGCCTGGAACTGGTCTTCTGTCTTCCTGTGGTTCTGATCATAATAAAGCTCCTCTTTTTTTTCTTGTTTACATTATAGCCAGAAGCCCTTTCCTTGACTGGGAAGTTCCAGAAGGGAAGGAATTAAACTAGTCTGCCACTAGCACTTTATCCTGAGCCGGCAAAGGCGACTACTGTGTCATCCTGCATTTTATATGCCATTTTAAACAAGAAGTCACTGGTCTGATTTGATTTGACTTGATTCCTTGCTTGAATTCCACGTGGGATTCTTCAGGGAGCATTAATAACCACAACACTCCACTTCAGGTAGCAGACTTCTCTTCACTTTCCAGGCTATAGAGAAATGCCACCTGCTTGCACCCAGCCTCCCGGGAAACACTGGCCTGCTGTTGATGGGGAACTTGCTCCTACTCAGTCTCAGAAACGTATGTGGATCTTAATTCTAGGACTTCAGTGTAGGCAGAGAGGAGGAAGAGAAAGCAACAAACTTTCAGGCAAGTCTAATCTGAAATGAGGCAAGAGTAAGCAGCATGTGGAAACAGTGCTGAGACACTGGCAGGCAGCAGACCCCATCTGAGGTCAGTTCTCTAGGTAGGGATATAAACAGACCATGAGTCTGTGTCTGATTTTTTTCTATTCAAGACAACCAGAAAAAAAAAAAAAAAAAATCCTGTGATGAAATCCAACTTTATTATAAATGAAGCCTCTATACCGTATTCCAGAGGCTCTCTCTTCTTTTCCCAGTGAAACCATCTGTTAGAGAAATTTGGCTTTCCTTGGCAAATACATGCTGCTCCCTTCCTGAGACTCTTCCAATGCTGTCTCACCTCTTCCTTTTCCTCTACCGCCTCTCTCCTTTCCAGGTCAATTTTCATAAGGTCTTGTCCACAACTAAAACTATCAGGGGGGGAGCCCCAGCCCCTTAAGCAGGTTTGTTTTGTTTGTCCTATGACAACTCTAACTCTCAAAGTATTATGCGGCCAACTGGGCGGATGGAATCTCCAAATCAAACACATGAAAAGTCATCCGTTTTTTTTCTTTTACAGAAATAACTGAGGTAAGACAGAAGGAGGAAAACAAAACAGGTTCTGGATGTTATTTTCCTTTTAAGACATTAGTAAGAAGTACCAGTAGGGAGGGGTTGTCGATGATAGGTAGAAGACACTACATAAATGACTATGGGCTGGGCAATTTCTTCTGGAGCTGCACTTCCAATAAGAGCAGCTAGTGGGGGGCGCCTGGGTGGCTCTGTCAGTTAAGCATCTGCCTTTGGCTCAGGTCATGATCTCGGGTCCTGGGATCCAGCCCTGAGTTGGGCTCCCTGCTCAGCAGGGAGCCTGCTTCTCCCTCTCCCTCCGCTGGTGCTCTCTCTCTTGCTCACTTGCTCGCTTTCCCTCTCTCAAATAAATAAACAAAATCTTAAAAAAAAAAAAAAAGAGCAGCTACTGGGCGCATATGGCCACTGAACACTTGAGATGTGGCTTGTTGAAATGAGTGTAAAACATGCTGGATTGCTAAGATTTAGCACGAAAAGAATAGGTCATTAATAATTTACGTTGTTTATGTGTTGAAATAATAAATTTTTAATAGCTCATTAATAATTTAAGCCTTTACAGGTTGAAATAAATAATTTTAGATATATGGGGCTAAAATGTTAATCTTACCAGTTTCTTTTCATTTGAACATAGCTACTAGGAATCTTAAAATTATATACGTGGCTTGCACTGTATTTTTTTTTTACATTTATTTTATTTAGGGGTACATGGGTGGCTCAATCGGTTAAGCATCTGCCTTCGGCTCAGGTCATGATCTCAGGGTCCTGGGATTGAGCCCCTGCATAGGGGCTCCCTGCTCTGCAGGGAGTCTGCTTTTCCCTCTCCCTCTGCTTATGCTCTTTCTCTCAAGCGTGCTCTCTTTCTCAGGTAAATAAAAAAAAAAAAAAAAAAAAAGACTTAATTTGTTTGAGAGAGCGCAAGCCAGCAGACAGGGAGATGGACAGAGGGAAAGATAGAATCCCAAGCAGACTCCCCCCTGTGCGTGGAGCCCAGTGTGGGGCTTGATCCTGAGTTCATGACCTGGACCAAAATCAAGAGTCAGATGCTTAACTGACTGAACCACCCAGGCGCCCCTGCACTATTTTCTTATTGAATGCCGCCATTCTAGACCATAGGACACGAAGTAGGAAAAACCCTGTAAGAGGAGACGGCAGACAACACTACTTAACTGCTTACCATGTGTACTGTGACTAGGGCTTTGTTTTATTATTTCGCTTTAGATTTAATGCTAGGCATTAAATACCCTGGTATTGGTCATCTGGATAGAAAACTTAAAAAGAAAAATACTAAGTTGCAGCCAGGTGTCCAGAGCACAAAACCCCAAGTAGGCGATTCCCACATGGCCTACAGCGAGGCCTCGGACCACAGTAGCCCTCTCCAGTGTCTGCCACCCCCATCCCTACTTCTGCTCCCCTACAAAGAATAAATGAGGCGATAATGCATTATAATTATGGAAGATGTTACTATTGGGGGAAGTTCTTATTAAAAAAAGTTAAAAAGTTAAAAAGTTCCTTCCTTAGTGCAAATAAACAAATAGATAAATAAATACACAAAGCAAAAAATTCCTGCACTAACAGGCCCAAATGACTCAGGACTGCATCAATGGTTCACATCAAACAGGCAACAGCCTAGTCATGCTCAGAAGTGTAGGTGTTCCCTCAAAGTCTCTCAAATATGGTTAATATGAATAATTTTTTCTTATTTAAACTTATTTTTTGAAATAATTTTTTATTTATACTTATAAAGTTTATTTTTTTTTAAGATTTTTTTTTTTTTTTATTTGACAGAGAGAGCACAAGCAGAAGGAGAAGCAGGCTCCCGGTGGAGCAGGGAGTCCGATGTGGGGCTTGATCCCAGCACCCTGGGATCATGACCTGAGCTGAAGGCAGATGCTTAACCAATTGGTGCCCCTAAAGTTTTTTCTTAAAAAAAAAAAAAACTTTTCTTCAGCTTAAATCTCAACTGATCCATTTGAATGCAATGTAGAAACCTTCATATCAGGTTCAGTTTTGTCTACAATACAGATGTTATTGTCATGTATTAAATATAATCTAGTCAAGATCCAAGGGTATAGTCAACTTTGATTAACTTAGAAATAGCTAAACCATTTATTCATAAAAGCATTAACCTCTGGATAGTAAATCAATTCACTAAAAAGAAAATTCTCTCAAAAAACAGGCCAAGAACTCTGGACAAGAAAGTTGACTGACATCCTCTTACCAAACAGCGGTAATGTCTAATCCTATCATGGCCACTGCAACACCAAATCCATCCATTAAATGCAACAAAGTCCAAACAGAACTAGAAGATATTTTCTACTAACCATTTGCTTTGAGCTCACAACCATTTACCAAGCATCTACAATGTACCAGGTTCTGGCCATGTCCTGGGACAGACAGACGTTTCTACCTTCAATCAGATAATTTCAAAACAATATAATAAGTAGCAAACCAATCCAACAGTACATTAAAAAAATCATTCACCATGATCAAGTGGGATTTATTCTTGAAATGCAAGGGTGGTTCAATATTTGCAAAACAATCAACGTGATACATATCAATAAGAAAAAGGATAAAAACCATATGATCATTTCAATAGGTGCAGAAAAAGCGTTCAACGAAGTACAACATCCATCATGATAAAAACCCTCTGCAAAGTAGGCCTAGAGGGAACATATCTCGACATAATAAAGATCATATATGAAAAACCCACAGCCAACATCATACCCAATGGGGAAAAACTGAGAGCTTTTCCCTAAGGTCAGAATAAGACAAAGCATGTCCACTCTCACCACTGTTATTCAACATAGTACTGGAAGTCCTAGCGAGAGCAGTCAGACAAAAAAGAAATAAAAAGCCATCCAAATTGGTAAGGAAGAAGTAAAACTCATTATTTGCAGATGACATGACACTGTATATGTGGAAAACCCTAAAGGCCACCAAAAAACTATTAGAACTGATAAATGAATTCAGTAAATTCACAAAAATCAATGTACAGAAATCTGTTCCATTCCCATACACTAATAATGAAGCAGCAGAAAGTGAAATTAAGAAAAGAATCCTATTTACAACTGCACTGAAAACAATAAAATATCTAGGAATAAACTTAACCAAGGAGGTGAAACACCCGTACTCTGAAAACTATAAACCACTGATGAAAGAAATTCAAGACAACACAAATAGACATTCCCTGCTCATGGACTGGAAGAACAAATATTGTTAAAATGTCTATACGACCCAAAGCAATCTACACATTTAACAAAATCCCTTATTAATACACCAACAGTATTTTTCACAGAACTTGAACAAACAATCCTAGAATCTGTACGGAACCACAGAAGACCTCAAATAGCCAATGCAGTCTTGAAAACACAAAACCGGAGGCATCACAACTCCAGATTTCAAGTTATATTTATAACGCAGTAATGATTAAAACAATATGGTACTGGCATAAAAATAGATACATAGAGGAGTGGAACAGAACAGAAAACCCAGAAATAAACCCACAATTATGTCAATTAACCTTCAACAAAGGAGGAATGAATATCCAACGTGGAAAAGACAGTCTCTTCAACTAATGGTGCTGGGAAAACTGGATAGCAGCATGCAAAAGAATGCACCTGGACCACTTTCTTACACCGTACACAAAAATAAACTCCAAATGGATTAAAGACCTAAATGTGAAACATGAAACCATAAAATTCCTTGAAGAGAGCACAGGCAGTAATGTTTCTGACATCGGCTGTAGCAACATTTTTCAAGATACGTCTCCCGAAGCAAGGGAAATAAAATAAAAAATAACTACTGGGACTACATCAAAATAAGAAGTTTCTGCAGAGTGAAGGAAACAGTCAACACAACTAAAAGGCAACCTATGGAATGGCAGAAGGATATTCACAAATCCGATAAAGGGTTAATATCTAAAATATATAAAGAACTGATACAACCTAATACCCCAAAACCAAATAATCCAATTAAAAAATGGGCAGAAAACATGAACAGACACTTCTCCAAGGAAGACATCCAGATGGCCAACAGACACATGAAAAGATGCTCAACATCACTTATCATCAGGGAAATACAAATCAAAATTACAATGAGGTACCTCTCAGAATAGCTAAAATCAACAACACAAGAAACAACAGGTGTTGGTAAGGATGTGGAGAAAAAGGAACCCTCTTGCACTGTTGGTGGGAATGCAAGCTGGTGGTGATGCAGCCACTGCGGAAAACAGTATGGCGCTTCCTCAAAAAGTTGAATATAGAACTACCCTACGATCCAGCAACTGCACTCTTGGGTCTTTACCTAAAATATACAAAACACTAATTCAAAGGGATACATGCACCCTTCCCCATGTTTATAGCAGCATTATTTACAAGAGTCAAATTATAGAAGAAGCCCAAGTGTCCATAAATCGGTAAATGGATAAAGAAGATGTGGCATATACATATAATGGAATATTACCCAGCCATAAAAAAGAATGAAATCTTATCATTTGCAACAATATGGATAGAGCTAGAGACTATAATGCTAAGTGAAATAAGTCAGAGAAAGACAAATACCATATGACTTCCCTCATATGTGGAATTTAAGCAAGAAATGAGCAAAGGAAAAAAGAGAGAGACAAACCAAGAAACAGACTCTCAACTATAGAGAACAAACAGATGGTTACCAGAGGGGAGGAGGGTGGGAAGATGGGGGAAAGAGGGGATGGGATTAAAGAGCACACTTATCAAGATGACAAAAATAAGAATGATTTAAAAAAAAAAAATTGGGCTCCACTTGACAAAACAAAGCATTCAAAACTAAATACACGCATGCACACACACACATAAATACAATAGTAAGCAATAAGAACAAATACATATTCTGTTCGTGAACTATAAAACGCTTCACTGGTATTTAAACACACCAGCTTCGTAACTAACAGTTGCCTCCCACAACGTGTTGTTTTTCTTGGAAGCTCCTTCTTACGATGACTGCCTGGGGCCACCCTTGCCCCGTCGGCGTGTCGGGGTGGGACCCCAGAGCAGTCCTATGAGCCACCAGAGCTGGACACTGCTTAACCCCAGGGGATGTCCTTCACAGAGACAAAGATGCCAAGAGGATCCCCGGGAGTTGGGCAACAAGCAGCCCTGGGAGCTCTTCCAGACCCAAGCCCACTGGTCATGCTGGTTCCACGGCCTCTCAGCAGGAGCTGCTGACTTTGAGCGGGGCCTCTTGCTCTAGGCCTGTCCCTTTCTCACCCCCAGAGTTCACGCCTACGTCAGGGGTTATGCTGTCAGGCGATCGGAATCTGAGCCACCTTCCTCTGACAGGGGCACCTGAGATCACGGACTGCTATGGGATTCTAGTCCATCCCTCCGTCTCCTTGCTGGGTGCAGCCTTTCCAGCACCTCCCTGGAAGTTCGGCCTCTGGAGGGCCGCTCCCTCGTCAGACCTGACTCCCTCCAACCCTAGGTAACTCCCCTTCAACCTCTCACGGCAGCATTAAGAATTTCATTTTACTACCACAGCGTGAATATCATAAAAAGCAACCAGAACAAGGCCAGCTAACACAGCATTAAGTGCCCTGCTAAACAATTTGTTAAATAAAAAAGGAGACACCTTTTCATCTGGACTTCATGGTGTTTTCACAGGAGAAAACGAATTCTACATGAAAACTCATCAATGTGTTCCACAAACAGATTCAAATTTCTTTGGATTAGCTTCTTTCTCTTCCTAAAATGATGCTACAAGATCTCAGCAGGGAGAGGATGGATTTCCAGAAACCACGACTGCCCTTTCTGTTAGCTGAACTCAAGTTTTCAGGCTCAAATACGGCCACATCCTTAACGGCAGAAAGTGGGGTACAGTCCATGGAAACATGAAAACTGAACACGGTGAGCCCCCGGAACAGCTCCTGAACCCCAGGGGCCCATCTCAGATCATCAGCTGGCTCCAGGTCTCTCTCAGGGCCACAGCCTCTATGCGGTCAGTCACCTGCCTATCCACACAGCTTCTTCCGGAGCTGTCTTAGGTAGTGGAAAGCATTTAGTTACAGTTCATCTTTTCTTCTCAAGTATCAACACTTTCAGAGAAATTGTTTTTGTTTTTACTATAGGATGCACCTTTGGTTGCCAGTGGGTAAGTTCCTGGTATTATAGCACATGTAACCTCTTGGGTATTTTTAAAAGCCTAGCTTTAAAAGAAAGTATGCAAAGTATGCTTTCCACATTTACTATACTGTTTCTTTAAAGAGGTTTTTGGAAGAACACCAAAATAAAAATAGGATTCCTAAACTTAACTCGATAGGAACATTTTCTCCACCTTTCATGGATCCAGTTTTAAACTCCCCTGCTTGATCATTTTAACCCAAATTACCCTACCTTTGGTTTAAATAATCACTGCTTTACTTTGACAGTTACCTATAAATATGCTTCCTACCTTGCCCCCTTGCTATTCATTCCAGTTTGATAACCTGCTTTCAATCCAGTCGTTGCTATTTTTATTATCCTAAAAGATTTTCTTCTTTTGTATGACAAGCCTTAGGGTGTACATACCAGATTAGTTGATCGTTATAGAGAAAGGCAGTGTATTTGACTATACTCAGGCTTTCCTCCATTCTATTAATAAAGGACTGGATTTTCAAATAAGTCATTTTATCCAATGGGAAGAAGCTGATTCCACCAAAAATGTCAAGGAGATCACATGACTGCAAATGCAACGTTTGCAAGTACTGTAGGAAAAAACAAGGCATTAAACTTACTGTGAGTACACTGAATATAACACTGACAGCTGAGAATAGTCAGTCAATTTATGGTATGATTACATACTAGCATACTGATAGGACCAGTAAGCAGGTGAGCCACATCTAACTGGATGTGAAATTGGTACCAATTTCAAAATACAAAGTTCAAACATAAGTCATTAATCATTATTCAAGATTGTCTTATCTCTTTGAGTTAATTCCTTCTATGAGTGCTCCTCAAATTATATTAATCTCATTAGGGATCTACACAGTGATATCACGGACAGACAGTACCATCTTCTACTAAAATAACATCGAAAGGACAGGTAGTCAGTTGCTGACAGATAGGAGAGTAATGAAGGCAAGAAGAACAGGAATTAGGAGACAGCATGAGAGTAAATAATTATGGTCATTAAAGTGCAGGAACAAATAGGAAACAAAAGTAATTCATAAAAATGAAATAATTCAAAAACAGATCAAAGGTAGTTCAGGGGAAAAAAAATAGAGAATTATTTCTCCAAAAGGTAACCTGAATTCTACCAGAGGTAAGCTATATAAAATTTAATTTACAGTATAACAGAGTGACAACTATATCAGCACATTCATTTATCATTTGGGAAAAAACTCACTAAGTAATAAAATCTATCATGGCAAAAAATTTTACCTTATGTCAATACAGATTAAACAATACTCTGTCTAGTGAACAATAATCAATCCATAAGAATGTAGGACTCAGGGCAAGAGTTTAAATTCGGCTAATTAACCAATCACCATGCAGTACGTTCACTTTTGAGTAAGCCCACACAGACGCAGGTAGAACGAGGATGAAGCCAAAAGGTCTCCAAAATGATGTAGGGGTGCACACAAATGGCAGGATGCTCTGATCCTGCACAAAGGGTTACCGAAAGATTCAAAATGGAAGGAAGTTTTCTCCCTATTCTGGTTTTGCCACAACGTATCTTAGTTTTTGTCACTTTCAAATCAAGAAACAAACTTGTATGTATATTTCTAAAAGTCTCTTTGAAGACTACTAAAATTGTAAGTAAAATTCAAAATACTTACCCGATGGAAGAATTTCTCTAATCTTTCTTTTAGGAGCTTGACACCTCCATCTTCCATGGCTCTCAGAAATGTCCCATTAAAAAGCTAATAATGTAAAAGATTTTTTTAAAAAGTCAATTTCTTAACATCCTTCAATTTGCCAGTATAACAGATTCTTCTTTTCACCTTATTTAATCCCCTCTATTATTTTTAAACATACAAAATATTTACATGAGAAAGCCTGAATTATAAAATAAATCACAAAAAAATCACACTTTGTTAATTGAGATTTCTATGTAATCACCTAATCCCTTGGGGCATTTTTTTTTTTAAGATTTTATTTATTTATTTGATAGAGAGGGAACACAAGCAGGGGGAGTGGAGAGGGAGAAGCAGGCTCCCCGCGGAGCAGGGAGCCCAATGCGGGGCTCGATCCTAGGACCCTGGGACCATGACCTGAGCCAAAGGCAGACGCTTAACAACTGAGCCACCAGGCGCCCCGGGGCATATGTTTTTAAGTAGGCTTCTCGCTCAGCATAGACACCAACACTGGGCTTGAACTCATGACCCTGAGATCAAGACCTGAGCTGAGATCAAGAGTCGGACGCTTAACCGACGGAGCCACTCAGGTGCCCTGCATTTTTTTAAATCTCAACTCATACCTAAGTTTCACTTCACATAAGTAATATCGCCACTCCTTAAATCACACAAATATCTGCAGTATGCCTTTTCTTTCCTCAAGCACATGGACTCTCTTTTTTACCAACAGGGATACATTCCTAGTACAAGGCTGGGAATAGAGACAAACTCAGTACTCAGTGAGTAAGTGTGGACATAAACCTCAGCGCTGTTTCAAAGGCTCCATTATTCTTCCCCTAAAACAGATACGTACTCACCAGGCAGTCATCGAAAGAATTAAGATTTTTAAACGATTCCGGTAAACAGGGGTAACTGGTTAGGCTAACTTCAGAAAGCGCGTCCTGCTTACCTTGTACATACTGTAGCACTGTCGTAACACTGAGCTATAAACCTTGTCCTGCGAACACACACACACACAGATCTCAATTCAAGCGCAAAAAAGTCCATGGCACAGCAAATATACAATACTCTTGGCAACACAATATAATGCTTGTAAGCTTGGACCCACAACTTCTGTGTGTGGACAATCAGATGTATTTAAATTCAGTTATGAACCAGTAAGCCCAATTTTATGAGGGCTCTTAACAGATGCTTAGAAGGCATTAGTGAGACAAGATATACATTTTTATACAACTGTGCTAATATAAATAGACATAAAATTTCACTCTGCATATCCTGAGAATCTTCTGCAAAAGTGACATAGCTTAAATTTGACCAAGTCACTCAACATTTTCTAGAAATATGAAATGAAAAATGACACATTACCAACAACTCCTCCTCTTGGTATTCGACAACTGGTTTTCCATCTTTACTTTGCTTTTCAATTATAGGATTCCGAACAACCTACACAGTTTTGATAGAAAGAAATTACACAGTGACCCAATTATAGAAGTTTTAAATTTTCCCTTAAATGAAAAAATGTGAACATGTCACAACACCAAAAACACAACTTCTTAAAACAGCCCCAAGAACAAATACACTGCATAGGAGTTCGATTTTAAAACTGCAACCAACTTTATTGTGATTTTACTTTGCAAAAGCTAGAGGACTTTCCTAAAGTCCTAACAGTAAAGATCACCCATAACTTCGCTACACAAATTCAAAAAGATGTACTGTGTATGTAAATACCATGACCATCCAGAAATTCTCTTCTGGTTCATTGAAGAACTGTCTATTCTTCTGTGTATGTAAAGACTTTGCAGGTTTTGATGGACTAAAGGTCCTAAAAAGGTTAAAAAAGAATATGTTTGGGACGGTTCTCCAAGTTGTACGAGGTGTAAGAATTCACTGAGCTCTGCAAAAGCGCGTGTAAAGGCGTTACCTTGTAAACTGTACAATAGCTTCACATAATCCAACATTTCTAATTTTCTCATTCTTTTCTACTTCATTTGGATGGTAAAACAAAATTTTATTTTCCTCCTAAAGTATGAAGAAACAGAATCACATTAATATAAGCATTTTTTTTTTTCATCTCGGCTGTTGAGAATGTTAACATCAACCTCTCCCGTCACCCATGCTTAGCGCCAAAACAAAACAAAAACCCTTTTCAGAAAATCAAGAGTTATCTTCCCCCTCAGTCTGTAAACAACGCGCACCAGCCTGGAAGGCAATTGTGATACTCCGTAAAGTCACATGTCATCTGGAGGCTCACTAGACAATTATTCTGAAAAACTCGATCTTAGGGTTTCTTTCTTCATGCTCATTTGCAAAAGACCAACATTTGTAAGAAATAAGCGTGTGCGCACGTGCGGACACGTACGCCTCCCGGCGAGTAAAGCTCAGCAGGTTCACGCGCAATTGGACTGACAGCTTTTAAAAGGACCGTGATTTGCTGCCAACAGAACCGGACATCCTTTCAGGGAGTCACCGTCCTCACCTATGAAACAAAAACCCATCCCTGGAGTTTATCTATCAGTTCGGAAAAAAAACTTTCCTAGGGTCCTCCAAGCCTGCGTTATTTTAGGGTTACAGTCCCACCACTCTCGATCCACGCATCTGGTCGGGGACTTCCAGGAACAAAAAACGTAAGCTCAATTTTAGGCACCCGGGATTGGCGCAAAAAGACTCAACCCGTGTGGAGTGATAATTAGCCTGCCGAGCCTGCATTCAATACCCAGGCTTTGATCCAGGACCCGGGAGAGACCCTGCCGGCGTTGCCTGGCCCCCACTTATTCCCTGGCCCGGAGCACGCCCGGCACAAAGCCTCGGTCGATGCCGCCCGAGGAGGGGAGTGACAGGTGCTGCGCGGTGTCCCCTCCCGGGCGCGGCCCCACGGCTCCGCAGGCCCGTCGCCGGCCGGCCCGGCCGCCCCCCGCCCTCGGGCCCTCCTCCGACGGCCGGCTGACAACGGCGCGCGGCCCCTTTCCGCGTACCTCGCCCTCGCGCGGCCCGAAGCGCGGGTTGTAGATGAAGAAGCTCAGCAGCGCCGGCGGGAACTGCTTCTCCTGGGCCGCCCCGGGCCCAGCCCCGGCCGCCGCCGCCGCCGCCATCCCGGCCGGCCCCCGCCTCGGGAGCCTCCCTCTGCCGGCCCAGAGCCAGCTGCCCCGAGGAGACCGCACTTCCGCCTCACTCGCGGTCGCCCCGGAAGTGGTCGCCGCCGGCCCGGAAATAGAACCCGCAGCCCAGCGTCCGCTTCGGGCGGGCGCCCCGTGAGGGTTCCTTCCCGTTTGTTTCCCTGGCAGGTGTTTCTTATTTGAGAGTGAAGGTGAAAGTGAAACTTTGTGTTTGGTTGCTCCCAGATGTCTGTCCTGGCTGAAGCGAGGGCTGCGTATTTAAAGAAAAATAGAACGGGCGTAGTTTCTTTCTTTTCTTTGGAAGGGAGAGTGGAGGCGCAAAGGAAGGCTCTGCGTGATGTGCGTTCGGCTGGGCGATTTGCCCCCTTCCATCATCTACAGGGTCCCTCCTGGCGTGAATGGGTTTCCTTGATCCCTGTTTGGGAGACTTCAGGTGACCGCTGGATCAAACCAAAGGGATGGGGTTTGTGCTTACCCCTACCCCAGTGGCTCCGGGGAGGGAGCTTGCGCGCAGAGGCGAAGGCGCTGGGCTCGGCGAGGCGTGTGTGGTCAAAGCCCGACCAGCGTGTGGCATTCCCCGCGGCGAGCAGGGCATCGCCCTTTCTTAGTTTTGTGGAGTCACTTGCTTTTGAGCTCTGTGGATTGGGACATGGTTGGAACAGCTCGCTACTTCTGGCTTCTCGTATTGGGAGTTCAAACCCTTGCAGCCGACCGCTTGGCCAGACTCAAGACGACCTTGGCTTAGGTTGACTCATTTGTCCCAGACGAAGTTTAGGAGCAGGACCTCTTATTCAAACTGGCAGAATAGACCTTCATGTTTAGGGAGGAGATGCATTGGAATCTGGACGTGAGACGGATCTGGGTACTTATCCTTGCCCTATCACTCACAAGGTGTCAAACCTTGGACCGATTACCTAGCCTTTCTCCCGTCTCTGGTTCGTATTTGTAAAATGGCTAATAGTAAATGCTTACCTAGTAGGAATTGTGCTTTAAGAATTAAGTGAGACTATGCATTGTACATACAGTGTCCAGAACTTCATCACTATTCAACAAATGGTTATCGTTACTTGCTCTTGAAAGACTTTTCCAACTAACTTGCTCTGGTGCATGAAATTCTCCACTAGATAGAGTGTTTTGGTATAAAAGCAATAATTTAAAAATATTTTAAGATAGCAGGATCCCCTCTCCTCTCTTGTTCCTTTTATCCCCAAAAAGTCTGTGGGGAGTTCTAATACATAAAATAGATGCAGAGCTACCATCTGTGATCTACTGAGGTCTAAGAGTACCTTCTTTTGGCTTTTCCCAGGTGCTACCCACCATTCCCATCTCCCTTGGGGACCCTAAGGCACCTGCCCGGGACCTTGTGACATAGTTTGAAAACTCCAGGTTAAAGAAGTCTCTCCTTTGTCTCTGAGTAAATACTTCTCGGAAAAGTAGAAGAAAGAGCCCAGGGCTGAAGTTGGAACACCTGAATTTTTAGTTCTGGTTTTGCCATTTATCAGTTGAATGACCTTTGACTAATCACTTCTTTAATCTCCGTTTCCTCCTTGGCAGAACGAGGTCAGTACCTGCCTCACAGCGTTATTGCAGAATTACACTAGATGATCCAAATGAAAACACTTTGTAAAGTACAAAGTACTATACAAAGGTGGTACAAGAGCACTTCATAGTATTAGTCAAGTTTTCTCCCCGGACACTTCTACTTCCTTGTATACTTTGCCTCCTCTGCACCCAGGAAAGAGAGGATACAAAACCAAAATGAAACAAAAACCCAGAAATCCAAGTGCTTTTTAAGTTTCAAAAGCCAAGGAAGCAAGAAAGCTTAGATGTTGATGCATCTCCCTCTCTCATAGTGTGAGGGTGTGCATGGATGCGATGTGAGAGGAGAGATGATGATAGACACTTAGATGTTTTTGGAGACTTCAGAGTAGAGAGGATGTGTAGTTGCTTCCCTGCAAAGCTGGGGGTGGTGACAGAGGAGCCTCCTGATCCTGCACATCAGTCGAATGAGGAAATACCCCAATCGAAATGGATAGGAAGGGTGGAGACACCGCCTCGCCCCAACCCCCACCCGAGCACAGCATCATACAATGAGGAGGGAACCCTCGACTCCTAGCCTCTCTCTGGCTTTGGGTTATACATCTGGCACCCCAGCTTTTAAGACTCCAACCCACAGCCCTATCTCCAAAACACCTAACATTGAATGTCAATGGGACTTGCATTTATTAGACCCACAAGACTATAGCAAAGAATTAGTTCTTAACGGGCACGTGAGCGCTCACCATGGCGATCCCCTCAAGGCTCAGTACAGAGGAAACAGGCAAAATGCCAGTCAGTCTTCCCTGGGAAAGAATTTGTGTACTTTACAAGCTGCTGCCTGAGGGTCTGGCTTCTAATTTATCACACATTTAGGGGCTGGCTGTAGTCCTTCCAGGAGCCCAAAATAGCTGGTTGGCACCATACCTGATTTTCCCCTCTGATTCACTTGAAGAATAAAACCAAGTCGCCAGTATCTCCCTGGAAGAAGCTTGTCCACACATGCAGTGTGCCAACATTTACAGTCACCAACCAAGGGATGGACCCCAAAATTACCTGGCTCTGATAACCAGCAGGCACTTATGAGCCCCACGGCACTGCAGTAAAAAGCAGGTTTTAAATAGGAGAGGAGCGCCCTCCAGTGGCTATACACCTGGGCTTAGCGCAGAGAGAGCTCTCCTCCCACCAGAATATCCAGAAGGAAACATCTGACTTAAAGCACAAGTTAGACCAAATGGCCCTAACAAACATTTGCAGAACATGCCACCCAATAGCAGCAGAATTCCCACTCTTCTCAAGCACACACAAAACATTTTCCATGACAGATCATGTTAGAACACAAAACAAGTCTTAACAAAATTTAATAAGATTGAAATCCTAGCAAGCATCTTTTCTGACCACAAATGATATGAAACTACATATCAGCGACCAGAAGAAAACTGGGAAATTCACAAATATGTGGAGATTAAACAACATTCTCCTGAGGAACCTATGGGTCAAAGGAGGAATAAAAATGGAAATGAGGGGCGCCTGGGTGGCTCAGTTGGTTGAGTGTCTGACTCTTGATTTCTGCTCAGGTCACGATCTCAGGGTCGTGAGATCAATCTTCGTGTTGGCTCTGTGTTCAGCGGGGAGTCTGCTTGACGATTCTCTCTCCCTCTCCCCCGCTCCCTGATCGCACGCGTGTATGTGCGCTCACTCTCTCTGTCTCTCTAAAATAAATAGATCTTTAAAAGATGGAAATAAAAAAATATCTTGAGACAAATGGAAATGAAAACAACATAGCAAAAACTACTGGGTGCAGCAAAAGTAGTTCCAAGAGGGAAGTGTATAGAGATATATGCCTCTATTAAGAAAAAAAAAAAAAGAGTGGTGGCAGGGTGGCTCAGTTGGTTAAGTATCTGCCTTCAGCTCAGGTCATGATCTCAGGGTCCTGGGATTGAGCCCCGCATCCAGCAGGGAGTCTGCTTTTTTCTCTCCCTTTATCCCTCTCCCCTGCTCATGTGCTCACTTGTGAGCTCTCAAATAGATAAAATCTATAATAAAAAAAGAAAGATCCCAAACAACCTAACTTTACACCTCAAGGAATTAATGAAGAACAAACTAAGCCCAAATTTAGTAGGAAAAGGGGGGGAAAAACAAGAATCAGAATGGAAATAAGTGAAATAGAGACTAAAAAGACAATAGAACAGATCAATGAAACGAGGAGGTGGGTTTTTGAAAAGACAAACAAGATTGACAAACCTATAGCTAGAGTGAGAAAAAAGAAGATGCAAAATCAGAGGAGACATGACAACTGATAATACAGAAATAGTAAGGATCATAAACTACTGTGAATAATGACACACCAACCAATTAGATAACATAGGAGAAATGGAGACGTTGCTAGAATTGTATAACTTACCAAGACTGAATAATGAAGAAATAGAAAATCTGAATAGACCAATTAAAGAATTTAAAATGTATTTCAAAGTTTGTTTCAAGTGATGCTACCAAGCAATAATAATCAAAACACTATCGTACTGACCTAAAAACAGACACATAGATCAAATGGAACAGAATGGAGAGCCCAGACACAAACCCATGCATATATGGTCAATTAACTTACAATAAAGGAGTCAGGAATATGCAAGAGGTATTGGGGAAGCAGGATACCATGCAAAAGAATTAAACTAGATCTCTATTTTACACCATACACAAAAATCAACTCAATATGGATTAAAGACTTGAATGCAAAATTAAAACTTTACTTGAATGTAAAGACTGAAACAGTAAAACTCCTAGAAGAAAACCTGGGTAAGCTCCCTGACATTGGTCTCAGCAATGATTTTTTAGATTTGATACCAAAAAGCAAAGGCAACAAAAGCAAAAATAAGCAATTGGAAGTAAATCAAACTAAAAAGCTTCTGCACAGGGTCGCCTGAGTGGCTCAGTCAGTTAAGCGTCTGCCTTCAGCTCAGGTCATGATCCCAGAGTGCTGGGATTGAGCCCCGCGTCAGGCTCCCTGCTCAGTGGGGAGCCTGCTTCTCCCTCTGCCTGTGCTCCCCCTGCTTGTGTTCTCTCTCTCTCTCTCTCTCTCTCTCTCTGTCACTCTTGCTCTATCTCAAATAAATAAATAAAATCTTTAAAAAAATAAAAAGCTTCTGCACAGCAAAGGAAACCATCAATGAAATGGAAAGTCCACCTCTGGAATGGGAGAAAATATTTGCAAAACACACATCTGATAAGGGCTAATATAAAAAATATCAAGGAACTCCTACAACTCAGTAGAAGAAAAAAAACCCCAAATAACCCAATTTAAAAATGGACAAAGGACCCTAATAGACATTTGTCCGAAGAAAAAGGTCAATAGGTACATGAAAAGACACTCGACATCAATCATCAGGGAAATGCAAATCAAAACCACAATGAGGGGCACCTGGGTGGCTCAGTTGGTTAAGCGACTGCCTTCGGCTCAGGTCATGATCCCGGAGTCCCGGGATCGAGTCCCGCATCGGGCTCCCTGCTCGGCGGGGAGTCTGCTTCTCCCTCTGACCCTCCT